GCAATTTCTTTATTCCTGTTTTATTTGTTTTGCTTAACATGGCACTGATTTGCAAATGTACTTTTCAGCTTGATGGCTTAATCATCACTGGACCTTTCTGTGGAAAATATGAATAGTTTATGAATTGTATCAGTTTTATAATATTTTATTTTTAAGCTAAATATTTCTATTACCATTAATCCAACAGCTCAGGGAGAAGGTTATGGTTACTTCACCCTCACATCGTGAAAAATAGCAATTTTATAATTTCTGCATCCATATTTTCTAAGTCTGCAAAATACAGAAAATAAATGCAGCAAACCTCTGCTAAAACTAAATGTTTTAGGATAACACCATCATTTTTAGATTTTTACTACTATTATGCAAAGTAGCTACACAGAAATCTGATGAAAACATTTTTAGTTTTTCACAAGCGCATGGCACAACATCGAAGAGCCACCTCCACGGGACAAGACTCAGCAGTCCATCTGCATCTAAAGGACAAAGGTCACTCTTTTGAGGATGCCAATGTTCACATGTCCAGATGCTTTTCTTTCCAAGCTCCTTAGAATACGATGACCTGGATGACTGAGAACCTTCACAGACATTTTTAGTGTTTTTAAGTTTTTTCTGGAAGCTGAAACATTTAATTCTAGTAATTTTGACTTAAATGTGATTTTAATTTCTAGGTGTACATTTGTGGTGGTCTTACTGAAGATGAACCTCTGTCATGTGCTGAGTCCTACAACCCTGACACCAACCAGTGGACACTGATCACACCCATGGAAACCGGGAGGACTGGGGGAGCCGTGGTCGCCTACAATAACGAAATCTATGTAGTAAGAAGAGCTTAAAACATACTCTTACTACGGACAGAAATTCAAACATGGAATGTTTACTGTACCTGTATTTGGGAGTCTGTATTATTTTCCAAGTACCGTGTACTGGATTATTGGAATGTGATTTCTATAATTACCCTAGAATCAGATATTTTGGAATCTGGAGACCTATTTACTTTTTTATAACAGAACATTTTTACGTTACAGACTGTAACAAGTCCTTTGTCTGCACAGGTTGGTGGCTTTAACGGTATCACTCAGTTGCGTAGTGTCATCGCATATGACCCAAGAACAAGACGCTGGCGCAACGTTGCTCCCATGTTACACCCTCGTAAAAACTTCGGCATTGCAGTGCTGGAGGACCAGCTGTATGTGGTTGGAGGTTTCTACAATGGCGGCTTATTCTGCAATCTGGAGTGCTATGATGAAAAGACCAACAGGTGGTACATTGTCAGCGACAAAGGGATGATCCAAGGTGCTGTCAGTTGTTGCGTTCTGAAGCGACACCCCGATCTGACTGCTTATCTTCGATAATTATTTCACATAAAGAAATAAAGAAATACATTTTTCATCAATAAAAAACTGGCTGTTTCTCTGCTTAAGATCCTGAGGTCTGACATCCCAGTGAAAAAGTCTCTTTTAGCTGAACAGAGAACTTGAACTTTCTTTTCAACATGACGGGCATTTGCAGCTTCCACATTTTATGGCCACAAGGGAGGTTAACAGCTATGATATTAAGATCCCATTGGTAAAAGTCAAATCGTTTCTTCACTAATAGGTGATCCATTCAAGCCGCCATCTTCATCTCTACCACCAGCGTTTAGCCAGCTCAACCGTCTTCAATGTAGTTTTCTCGCCTACTTTAATGTCCAATTAAAGTAGATGAAATCCAATTAGTCACAAATTAGAGTTACTAAGGCTGACTGTAATCGGATCCACAGTTTATGAAGTGAATGCATC